TGTTGCAATTGCTTTTGGTGTCTGTGTCATGAAGTCTTTGCCAGGTCCTATGTCCAGAATGGCATCTCCTAGGTTATATTCCAGGGTTTTTATAATTTTTGGTTTAAGATTTAGGTCTTTAATCTATCTTGAGTTAATTTTTTAATATGGCATAAGGAAGGGGTTTAGTTTCAATCTTCTGCATATGGCTGGCCAGTTATCCCAGCACCATTTATTGAATTGGGAGTCCTTTCTCCATTGCTTGTTTTTGTTGATTTTTGTCAAAGATCAGATACTTTCAGTTGTGTGGGATTATTTCTGGACTCTATATTCTGTTCCATTGGTCTATCTGTTTTTGTACCAGTACCATGCTGTTTTGGTTATTGTTGATGCTGGTGAGGTTGTGGAGAAAAGGGAACACTCATGCACTGCTGGTGGGAATGTGAGTTAGTTCAGCCATTGTGGAAAGCAGTTTGGTAGTTTCTCAAAGAACTTAAAACAGAACTACCATTTGACCCAGCAATCCCATGATTGGATATATACCCAAAGGAATATAAATTGTTCTACCATAAAGACACATGCACACATATGTTCATAGCAGCATTATTTACAATTGCAAAGATGTGGAATCAACATGAATGCCCATCAATGGTAGACTGTATAAAGAAAATGTGGTACACATATATCATGGAACATTATGCAACCATTAAAAAGAATGCGACAACATGGATTCAGCTGAAGGCCATTATCCTAAGCAAACTAACACAGAAAGAGAAAACCCAATACCACAAGTTCTTGCCTAGAAGTAGGAGCCAAACATTAAGTACACATGGACACAAAGAAGGGAACAATAGACACCAGGGCCCACTTGAGGGTGAAAAGTGGGAAGAGGTTGAGGATCAAAAAACTGCTTATTGGGTATACGCTTATTACCTAAGTGACAAAATAATCTCTATACCAAACCACCATGACACACAATTTACCTATTAACAAACCTGCACATGTACCCCTGAATCTAAAATAAAAGTTTAAAAAAATAAAAATTAAAAAAAGAAATACCTTGAGAACCAGTGTATGTCATACATGAAACAATATTCATGACATATTAGTTGAGCACTGATACGGTTTGGATCTGTGTCCCCACCTAAATCTCCTGTTGAAATGTAATCCCCAATGCCTGAGGTAGGGCCTAGTGGGAGGCAACTGGACCATGGGAGCGGAATTCTCATGAATGGTTTAGCACCATCCCCTCAGTGCTGTTCTTGTGATAGTGAGTGAGTTATCATGAGATCTGGTTGTTTTAAAAGTGTGTAGCACCTCCCACCTTTCTCTCCTGTTCCTGATCCAACCATGTAAGACACTTGCTAATGATTTGCCTTCTGTCATGAGTAAAAGCTCTCTGAGGTCTGCTGAGAAACAGATACTGCCATGCCTCCTGTACAGCCTGCAGGACTGTGAGCCAATTAAACCTTGATTCTACATAAATTACCCAGTATTGGGTATTTCTTTATGGCAGTATGAGAACAGACTAATGCAAGTACCTTTTAAGTCACAGTCACTAAGTTGGGAGGGAAATAAACATATATAAATAAATATAGTGATGCAATTACTTCTCTCTAGTCATTTGAAATATATTTGGGAGAATGGGATATTTTCACAAATACTTCAGTGCAAGACAGCTTGCAGCTCACACGTCCTGAGAGGGGCAATTTTCTGCATATTGTACATCAACAGCTATTCTGTAATTACATTTGGCCTACTGAATAATTTTAGTTTTGTTTTAAAACTAAAATATCCAGGTCATGTTGATGCAAAAGGTGGGCTCCCATGGTCTTGGGTAGCTCCAACCCCATTGCTTTGCAGGGTACAGCCCCACTCTGGCTGTTTTCATGGGCTGGCATTGAGTGTCAGTGGCTTTTCCAAGTGCATGGTGCAAGCTGTTGGTAGATATACCATTCTGGGGTCTGGAGGATGGTGGCTCTCTTCTCACAGCTCCACTAGGCAGTGTCCCAGTGGGGATGCTGTGGGGGTTCCAACCCCACATTTTCCTTCCCCACTGCCCTAGCAGAGGTTCTTCATGAGGACTCTGCCTCTGAAGCAAACTTCTGCCTGGACATCCAGGTATTTCCATACATCCTCTGAAATCTAGGTGGAGGCTCCTAAACCTCAATTCTTGACTTCTCTGCACCCACAGATTGAACACCACATGGAAGCCTCCAAAGCTTGGGGCTTGCACCCTCTGAAACAATGGCTTAAGCTGTACCTTGGCCCCTATTAGACACAGATGGAGATGAGGCAGCTGGGACATAGGGTACCATGTCCCAAGGCTGCACAGAGCAGGAGGGCCCTTGGCCTAGCCCAGGAAACCATTTTTCCCTCTTAGGCCTCTAGATCTGTAACAGGAGGCACTGTCATAAAGTCTTTGACATGCCCTGCAGACATTTACCCTATTGATTTGGTGATTAATATTTGACCCCTGGTTACTTACGCAAATTTCTGAAGTGGGCTTGAATTTCTCCTCAGAAAATGGGTTTTTCTTTTCTATTGCATTATCAGGCTGCAAATTTTCCAAACTTTTATGCTCTGCTTTCTCTTGAATGCTTTGCCACTTAGGAATTTCTTCTGCCAGATACCCTAAATCATCTCTCTCAAGTTCAAAGTTCCACAGGTCTCTAGGGCAGGGGCAAAATGCCATCAGTCTCTTTGCTAAAGCATAGCAAGAGTCATCTTTGCTCCAGTCCCCAAAAGGTCCTCTTCTTCATCTGAGACCACCTCAACCTGTACTTTGTTATCCATATCACTATCAGCATTTTGGCCAAAGACATTCAACAAGTCTCTAGGAAGTTCCAGACTTTCCCACATCTTTCTGTTTTCTTCCAAGCCCTCCAAACTATTCCAACCTTTGCCTGTTAACCAATTCCATAGTTGGTTCCACATTTTGGAGTATCTTTATAGCAGCACCCCACTCTCTGTGGTGCCAGTTTACTGCGTTAGTCTGTTCTCATGCTGCTATAAAAAACTACCCCAGACTGGGAAATTTATAAAGGAAAGAGCTTAACAGACTCAGTTCCACAGCGCTGGGAAAGCCTTAGGAAACTTGTAATCATGGTGGAAGCAGGAGCAACCATGTCTTTCTTCACATGGTGGCAGGAAGGAGAAGTGCTGAGCAAAGGGAGAAAAGCCCCTTATAAAATCATCAGGCCTTATGATAACTCACTCACTATCATGAGAACAACATGAGGATAACTGCTCTCATGATTCAATTACCTCCGACTGGGTCCCTCCCACAATATGTGAGGATTATGGGAACTACAATTCAACATGAGATTTGGGTTGAAACACAGCCAAACCATATCATTGAATCTGGATGAATATTTACCAATCTATAAACAGGGGAGTTCGAGAAAAGTTTATCTTTTCTTTCAATCCAACAGTAAACAAACATTGTCTACGAGTTGACAAGTGAAAGGATAAATTCTACAGTAATATCTTATTATTTTATGATAAGGGCATCATCTTAAATTTTATCTATATCCTGGCTAAAATAATGGGTCTTATTATTTTAAGGTGAATCTGGCCAAAGGTGGATTGGACTTCCACCTTAGTTAACAAATTTAGATTCTATATTTAAAGAATACATTTCATTTTTTAGAAATAAGCAAAATTGTTCACAGCTATCATAATTGAGAATAATCAAAACTCAGTTACAAGCTCTGAGGACAACTTGAAAAAAAGAAGTTGAAATTTATGAATGTCAATAAAAACCCATGTTAAATGAATGACCACACTTCCTGGGTGATCCCTCTAAAGGGGACAACTTGCCTTTGTCAGTCACATTTTGCAGTCACATCTCACATGTAATATAGTCTGATATAGTTTGGATAGTCTGTATATTTGTTCCCGTCAAATCTCATGTTATAATCTGATTATCAATGTTGGAGATGAGGTTTTGAGGGAGGTGTTTGGGTCATGGGGTTGGATCTTTCATGAATGACTTTGTTTCCTCCCTATGGTAATGAGTGAGCCCTCACTATATTAGTTCGCATGAGATCTGGTTGTTAGAGAGAATCTGAGACCTCCCTTAACCTCCCTCTCTCTCACTTCTTCTCACCCTATGATCTCTGCAGTCTTTGGCTCCTCTTTGATTTCGGCCATGAGTGGAAACTTTCTGAGTCCCTCACCAGAATCAGATGCTGGCACCGTGCATCTTGGAGAGTCTTTAGAGTCATGAGGCAAATAAACCTTTTTTCTTTATAAAATACCCAGCCTCAGGTATTCCTTTGTAGCAACACAAAATGGACTAACACATAATCCTTACCTTGAAAGGTCACCCAAATCCTCCAGTCATGGGAAGCTAAACAAAAGATTTTATTATTTCCATCAAGCAAAATTATCTTCCTTCAGCACTTTACTCACTTTTTTAATGAGCACAGAATGAGGAAAACTTCTTTAGTTCAGAAGTCTTTCAAAATCAGCCATTTCTATCATCTACTGTGCCTTTCAATGGTTTGCTAAATATTTTTTCTCATTTTAGTAACTCTATCAACAAAAGCATCTATGCTTACGGACAAAGAAAATAGGGACATTTAGTAATTATCTGACTTGCTGCCTGATGCAGAAATCCCCTGTAAATAATTCAATAATTCAGGCACTGAAGTGGGTATTTTGGCCTGAGCTGTTCAATTGAGCTATCATGAATTATGACTAAACACACGATTTTCTCTTTGTTTACCACTGTAAATCAGGGACAAATTGAAAAGTGTTCCTAGGTGTAGTATAGATAAAAAGAAGAACACAAAAAGCAATTTTGTTACGGCATTTTTCCCTCTCAAAGCTTTAGAATTTCTGATTATTAATCTGTTGCGGGAAGTTTCTATCTGTGTTTATTTCTGGTTATCTTATGAGCAGGTGTTCTGGGAGGCTCCTTCTTTCTAAATCTAACCTTTTAATAGATAAATAAGTATTCTAGGGGATGGGAAATAAACAAAACCAAAAACTTGTTTTTCCCCTCTAATCACCAGGAAAGAAGTATCAATAGCATATTAAAGGACACAAATGACTCAGGCCTGCTCTCTGTGCTGTGAAGACATCCACACACACTGTGCCCAGGGTGAGAGAAAGGCACATTTATTGCTGATTTCCATGATGCATTTGTTGTGAAGATTGGCAGATACAATTCAAGAAAGCCAAGTAGATTGTTCGAATTACAGTTGAAGAAAAGGTAACCAGTGGTGGGCTGAGAGGAATAGTTGGAAAAAAAATGTATTAGATATTTCCATATCTCTCGTCATGAACTCAGACAAGAACGAAGCCAAATATGAATTAAATACCTCCTCTGTGTCTTTTCATACCTTCTGTAATCATTCCTCCTTCATAATTAAGCTTCTAATAACATACTTCCTCCCTTTCTCTTTTCTCCTTTAGCCAAATCCTTCATGCTCATAGCCTCTTTATGGACCTAGAAACTTCAGGTGTGGACACTGAGCAGGCTGCCTAGGCTGCCCCTCTGCTCTCTGGACATTTTGTTGGCAGAGGGAGGAGCTGCTACTATCCTAGGCCTCACTGGCAAGGGAGGCCATTCCCAGGCTAGAGGAGAAACTATGAGAACTCTGCACCTCATTAGACTGCAAACGAAGATACATCCTGATTTTTATATAGCCATGGATTTGTAGCAATTTTATTATTTTTACAATCTCACTATGATTATTACAATAAAAGTTTTAAGTGCAATGTTCCTAACTCAAGGAAACATAAATGCTTAAGGTGATGGATACCCCAGTTACCCTGATTTGGTCATTATATGTTGTATGCCTGTGTCAAAACATTACATGTACCCCAGAAATACATACAACTATTATATACTCATAATAATTAAAAATAAATTTAGTTTAAAAGTAATCATCATTTCAAAGTTGTTAACTGTGCCTTATGAACTGAATTCATATGTGTGCAGACACACACACACACACACACACACACCCCCCATTGTAAGGCAAAGGAATTGTTCTTCTGATTCTTGTTAATGAATCTGAATATTGTTCAAGTAGCATGTCCTGTTCAGAGAAATCAAAAAAGTAAGCCATTTTCCCAATGACAAGATCTTCTTGAATTTTTGGTTCATGGGATTGTATGATGTTCTTATTTTCTAGCATCTTTCCAAGTGTTCAGAGTTATTCAATCAAAGGATCATCTTGAACAACCACTGATCTGATGCATGGGTTTTCCTTTATGATATATTCCAGCTTCTGGTTAAAGTATCCAAAGGGATTTGAAACTCACTGCCTCCCATTATTGAATGTTGCTCCAGATATTAGAATCTTTCCTTCTACTGACCTGAAATCTGTCTCCTGTAAGTTCCATCCTTTGGTCCTGTGTTATGCCTTGTTGTTGCATAGTTTAACTCCCCTACGGAAGGCAATCTTTGAGCACACACACCTTAACGCTCAATTCACTCCTCCAAGTCCGTTCCTCATACATCCTGATTCTTTTTTTTTTTTTTTTTCCGAGATGGAGTTTCGTTCTTGTCACCCATGCTGGAGTGCAGTGGCGCGAGCTCGGCTCACATGAGCCTCTGCCTCCCGGGTTCAAGTGATTCTCCTGCCTCAACCTCCCAAGTAGCCAGGAGTACAGGCACATGCCACCACTCCCAGCTAATTTTTGTATTTTTAGCAGAGACGAGGGTTCACCATGTTGGCCAGGGTGGTCTCGATCTCTTGACCTCGTGATCCACCCACCTTGACCTCCCAAAGAGCTGGGATTACAGGCGTGAGCAACCGCACCCGCCTTTTTTTTTTTTTTTTTTTGATGGAGTTTTTGCTCTTTCCCCCAGGCTGTAGTGAAGTGACACAATCTTGGCTCACTGTAACCTCTGCCTCACAGGTTCAAGCGATTCTCCTGCCTCAGCCTCCCGAGTAGCTGGGATTACAGGCACTCGCCACCATGCCTGGCTAATTTTCGTATTTTTAGTAGAGGTGGGATTGCACCATGTTGGCCAGGCTGGTCTTGAACTCCTGACCTCAGGTGATCCATCTGCCTCAGCCTCACAAAGTGCTGGGATTACAGGCATGAGCCACCGCACCCAGCCCATACATCCTGATTGTTTCAAGTTTCTTTGTTGTAGAATTTTGCTCCTTAGTTTGGCTAAAACCAGGTTCTGGTCACAGGACCAGGAAAATTTAGGCATACAGACACATTGAAGGGTGAATAGACCAGGATTTTATTGGATGAAAAGGAAAAAAAAGAAAAAAAAATCCCTCAGCAAAGTGAGACGGAGTCCTGCTAACAGGCACCCCACCTCCCAGATTGATTCCAGGCCACATACTTCGGAACTGAAGAGATCAGGCTCGTCTGCACTGAAAATGACATGAACTTCCTGAGGCTCCACCCGACCCTCTCAACCTACAGGTATGTCGGAGATTCTCCAAGGACCCTCCCCGTTACCTGCCTCCTGCATCTATCATCTTCACTATCTTGGTGCTTCTTCTTTGGCTTACACCTTCATTAAACTTGCAAGTAGTCCCTCTAACTTAACGCCCAGAAAGCAAGATTTAAAAGGCTCCCCTCTAAATGTGCCTTTTTAAGTCAGTGAGCGGGCGACCTCTGAAAGGACCCCCAAGAGGAATTCTGCAGTTGGTGAAACAATAGAAGGTAGAATTCATCTCTTGTACAAACTTGCGTGGGGCACCAACCTCTGGGATGTGATGTGAACTTGCCTGGAGAGGAGGTAACAGGCTCTAGATAGGGAGGAGAAATTTAGATGTGTGTTTTGCTGTGGTCATCAGAACATGGACTTCGGAATCTGGCAGACCTGGATTTGAAGTGTCAGGTCTGACACTTACTAACTTATTAATTGACACGTTGTTTAGTATTACCATGTCTTAGTTTCCTCATCTGTAAAATGGGAATAATAACTTGGGTCCAGTAACTACACAATTTCGTTTGTTTTTGAATGGGAGACTTGAAGCTGAATTCTTAAAAAAGAACATATATAGCATTAAGATCTTACCTCTATTCAGTAAGAAAGAGCATAAAAGGAAATTACATTGCTTTCATGTATTCAATAATTCAATTACTTATTTAGTATGTTTTATGTGACACACACTATTCTGGGAACTGGGCAAAAAAATGCAAAACACAACTGCTGAAATTCTACTTATACTGATGTTTAAGATTACAGAAATAAAATGTTGATAAATATTACAAATAAAAAAGTTATCATTTATTTATGTAATTCCAAAGAAGGAAATATGAAAAAGTTACCCAGTTGCTGCTCTATGTGTACTTCTTGTGCTACTAAGTTCTAGAGTAATTTTCTGTTAGGAACACATAGCAAGGGCACACACATGAGTAGAAGGTAGTGTTTCCCTGAAAGGGAGTGGATATTCAATCTGTGAACTTGTCTGAAATGATTCAGAACCTGGAAAAAGATTTATGACACAGTAGATGAGGAGGAAACCATTTTCTCTAACCCTGACTCCACTGAGCTTAGTGTGCTCGCAATACAGACACTTAAGTGTAGCTCTGGGTGGTGGGAAGCTCTACAACAGAACATTCCTCTAGTGTGTCAAGGAGGTTGCTTTGTAGACATCTAGGGAGATCCCTATTTGACATTCAATGAGGATAGGCTTCCAGGTCCTGAGAACAACGTCGTCTAGTAGTAAGTTGTAAGTTTCTTCTGCATTAGATTCTTCTTTAATCTTCCAAATGTTCTTGGTAAATATACAATCTCTTACTTGATAAATTGATCTTACTCTCTTGATAAATATACAATCTGTGTTTAGCTAAACTGACCTTGGCCCTAAAGCCATTATATTAAAGATAGCAACTTCTAAAGCAATGGTTCTCAAACACGTACAGTTTTGCCTCTCCAAGGGACACTTGACAATGTGTAAGGATATTTTTTATTGTCATAAAAATGAGAATGCCTCTGAGATCTGATGAGTAGAGGCCATGGGATTATGCTAAACACCCTGCAGTGCACGGGACAGCCCTCTAAATCAAAGAGTTGTCTGGCCCAAAATGTCATTAGTGCCAAGACTGACAGATCCACTCTAAGGTAGTACTTGCTGCCGCAGACCAGTGCAGACTGAAGTTAATGTGTGCAGGCAAGACTGGTCATCTGTAGCCAAGTTAAGTGAGTGGCAGAGGCAGTGACCAGGATCGTATCAGAAACACATGTGTGACTCACTATGGACACAGTGGAGTCGCCTGGAGTGAAGAGGAAAACTTGAAAAGGAAATTGAGGTTCTATCATCATTCTGGTGACACTAGGAAACTTCAGGTTCCACCAGTTAGCTTCTACAGATGGTAGAACTATTCCCAAATGAATCCTATTTTACTCCAAAGCAATCCAGTCTTGACTTGGATGTTACTGCCTTTGGCCTTGATCTGCTAAAGCTTTTAAGACAAAAGTCAGTGCCACATTGCCCAGAGCCTAGGTGCTGTCATTGTCCTGAATGTGTGAAATGCAGGAATTGTCCTCTTGCTTTGGTGGATGGTTTCATAGTCTCTTAACAGGAAAATCTTTCAGTCTTCCTTTCCTCAGCCTTATCTCACTATCGGTTTAGCATTTGTCAGGGTTTTTAATCCTTTTCATCTGAAATATCTGATTCTAGACCGATTTTTAACTTCCATTTTGCTGAGTCCTTGATTCTAAGTCAGTTGATATGTCTATATATTTTCTGTTATCTCTGCACAATAGATATTTGCCTGGATGGAATCATAATGGTAATAGATTTCTTTAGTGTTCTAAGATTGATTCTGAAGTGTTACTGCTCCATTTAGCATGTTGTGTCATTTCTACAGCCTGCATTATACTTATCAATCTATTCACCTCATTACATGGTGAACAGGACTATGCCCATTATAAATTAAAATGCAATAATTATTATTACTGTGTTCCTTTTGTTTGGGATATATTTTTGCAATAGAACAAAAGTACCATAAATCATTTGCATGTAATGATTTTTCAGCACCTTTTGAGGTAAAAGCCATCCTGATTTGTGTTTTCAAGTATGACCTCCAAAAGATCCTCCTAAAACATAGGGAGCATGAAAATGCTGAGTCTGTAAATCCTTCTCAAGTTTAAGAAAGTTGTCCTGCTGACTTTTTAAGGGTCGATAGCACATGAATCCCTTCATCCTCTAGTCTGGTTTGTTGATTTGGATAAGCTCAGGGCTCTGCTTCATTTTGAAATAGAAGAAACAAAAAGAATATGGAAGAATGGTTTATTAGGAATGTATTATATTCCATGGTAATGTCAATATAAATGCAAAATAAAAGCCCAGCTGGACTTGAATGTTTTAGAAAGATTCTGTTATTCTTCAGAATTTCATTAATCCAGTCACAAATAACAGTGGGCTAGTCTATCTCCCCCACCTCACCTCCTTTTCCCTACCTTCAGTCATTGTTCATTTAAAATAGTTTTAATGGCCTTGGAAGTATTCATGAATTCTGGTTGTTTCACTCTCCTAATCATGTTGTAGGCTTAAAATTCACATTTAATTAACCTCTTCACCCAAGGCAAAAATCAATAAGAAAACTCCAAATGCTTACCATACCAATCATGATTTTCATTTGGAGGGAAACTGTTGAAAATTAGACATTAGGACGCCTGAAGAAAAGCAGAGAACTAGTGGTGCAGAGCAAAAACGAGCTAACACATGAGTTATGAAAGTGAAAGCACTAGATATGAGAGAAAATATTCATTCATTCAGATTTCAGGGCAACTATATATTTGGGATGTGTTCAGAAAATTATGCTTTATCTAGAAAAATTAGAGGCAATCTAACACACTGAAATCCAAGTGATATAGAACCCAACTTCTCAGGACAGGAAAATGATCAAAAAA